CGTGTCCCACCTATCACGGCGAGCGCACGCAAGCAAGATAACGAATCAACAAAACCGAAACAGAGACGATACCACCGCGATATACAATCAGAAGCAAGTGGCGCGACTGTTAAGCTGATTCGATCAATGATGCGGCATCGGTCCACGATAGGCACGCTCGACGTGTGATGATCAGTTCAATTAAACGCCCGATGTTAAAACTCCCTCCTCCTTCGCTGAAGCGACACAATTTTGCCATTCCGGTCGATCGTGCCATCGCGATGTGGAACGGGTGTGTCGCGAGGGAACGGATGTTCTCGTTGTCGCTTTTCGACGAGGGAACACGGGGATAACAGGGGGGTGTAGGCGGGGGGGGGGGAGGAAACGAGGATAGGCTGTTCGCGGGACCGAACGAAATAAATGAACGAACGATTGTCGATGTCGGGTTTGTATGAGTTTGAATGCAAACTGTACCATCAACACCTCGGACACGGAGCTGATGCTGAGGACATACATGGTGACGCCGACCTCCACGGGCGGACCTGCAATCAACAAAACCATCCGGCCTTGGTCGCTGTGATTACCCGCCAATCTCTAATCAACCGTGTACGACCTATCGTGTACGATATAAGTAGGTGGGTTATATCTAGACAACGGTAATAAGTAACACAAGGAACTCCCTTCACCTCTGACTCACGCGTTCGCGCCCCGGGACATCCTCTCGAAGTACTGCTCTCGCGTATATCGCGCGAGGACGCGCGGCACTCGTCGCGTTTCGCGCGCGACCATGTCGCTTATCAGAAGAATCCGAGACCCTATCGCCGAGCGCTATGTCCTACGAATCCGAGCGCGCGCGCGAGATAATCGTCCGTTCGATCGTACGTACGTTCGGCATTCTCCCCCGCGAGCTCTTCTTCTGATAAATCTGAGAGATCGGTTCTCACTCCCACGAAAGGGGTGCGAGCTGTTTTTTTTTCCCTTCCGTCTCTTTGTTTTTCTTCCCTCGGAAACGTCGCGCGCGCCCGTTCGTGTGAGCCAGAGGCAAAGCGCAAGCGGACTAAGTCGAGGAGAGCTCGCACCCTGCACGGAACCAAATCAACAGGACTCGTCGTCGGCTACGTTGCCTTCCATGCTAGAAGAATCATTCATACTAGTCTCGTTACATAGGTATTTACGCTTTTACGTATATTACATATACATCACAGCCACGCAGCAGTATGACTTTACCTTACTACTATTGTCTTTCGTTTCGTTCCGCGTCGCTATACAGTATTTCGTTTGCGTTTCTCTCTCTCTCTCTCTTTCTTTTTTGATCTTTCTTTTCGTTTTCTCTCCCTCTCTCTTTCTCTCTTGTTCTCTGTACACATTTGCATCTCGATTTGCCGATCACGTGTCTCATGTCGTATTCCAATTAGGCTCGTTGTGGCTATAAGTGTACGTATCTCGGAGAAATCTGGCCCGCTTTATAACGATTTCTTGCATCCCTACATCGGACGGCCCTCCGTCATCGGGAGCGGCGCGTCGTTTTCTCAAACGTTCATACAACGACATCGTTACTCTACACTGAATTGCTGTCATTGTCACTGCGATTGTCGATTCCGGGCGTAATTGAATTTTCTTTAGCTTTCTTTCGGTGGGCGGGGGGTGGGTGGTGGGGGGATAAGGGGATGCCTTGAATTGTCAAAAGAGAGAAAGTGTATCGCTGGAAGGAAAGACTCGACGGATACTGATCGAGGCGTCGATCGGGTGGTTCTCTCTCGTGTTCATTCGCACGAACGTGTGTGATACGTGCGGTGTTCAGACAGAGAGGGCTGAGGGTGTCGGGCAAAGGGGCGAGGGCGGATTTGTCTCGGGCGGCGGGACATAGAGTAATAATAATAATCGTAAGTGATGGCAGGCGGCAGCCCATCTCAGCAACCGCGGCATAGCAGCTAGCGTCTAAAGAACGGTCTAAACGGGACGGTCGTGCGTGTTTAATATATATATATATATATATATCCAGTATTGAACAAAATACTATTTTCCCTGAGAGCAGAAAGCAATAAAGACGCTCCTCATTCACGTTCTCTCTAACACTACGTGACGTTCGGGGCAGCCCAGGCTCAGAGTCAGGCAGGAGATCAGAGAGCTAACTTTTCCACGGTAAACGGAGGCAGTCGAGGCAACTGGAAGCTTGTCTCGGCGCCGATTCATGTTTCCCCGCCTGGTACCTCTCGGGTAACGTCGAAACTTTTAATAGCGTCTTCGCCGTCAATACAATTCGCTTCTCGCGCGGACGAGAGTCACGCGGTGAACCTCCGTTTGAGGGAGCATTCCCTGGTGAAATAAACCCTCACGCGCTTCGCAAAATGGAAATCTTTCTCGCAATAATTTAGAACGATCTGGAGATTGTTTCGTTGTTTTTTTTTTTTTTTTTTTTTTGCTAAGTTTAGCTCGATTCGCGACCGCAGTCATTTCACAATCTTGCGGTTACCAGTCGCTGAAACTACAGCCCCGTTTCCCGAGCGCAAAACGAGGACAGCCAGTATATATATATATATATATATATACTGGCTATATATATATATATACTCGTACTATATATATATATAGTACAGTATATATATATATATATATATATATATATATATATATATATTTATTTATTTATTTATTTATTATCTGAAATATGAAATAGTACTTTGTCCATTTTTGGTAGTGTTTTTTTTCTGTTGCTCGCTACTAGAGAGTTTCCGTATGCGTGGTGTGTGTGTGTGTGTGCGCATTTGTTAATGGGTGTGTACGTATGTTTATGTATAGGAGAGTGCGTGTAAGGTCATACACGCGCACACTCAATTTTGCGCCGGTGTAAACCGGTACCGCGATAAGCGGACGGGCCATGAAGGAACTACAATATATCAAGCGAGTTAGGGGACTCGGCTCTCGGTTGGCTTCATTTCGGTAGTTTCGAAGTACAAGCGGTAAACCACCGTCGCGTAATCGCCACCGTGCGCCAACGCGAAGTTAAGCGCGTCTTACTACGGGGAGAGCTAAATTGGCATTTTTATGCGAGGCGCTCGTAGCGCTCATTTTCGCGCGCCGCGAACAAGAAAATACCCATATCGCATGAATTGAAATAGTTTTCGCCGTGTGTAACAGAGGCGAGGAAAAAATTCGCGCATTTTCACGGGAATATCGCGGACGAAGCGGCTTAACGCGAAAATTTAGCCGATAAAAATGTTCAAACTGCCGTTCTTCTTTTTACCGAATCATCAATCGACGCTCGAGCGTGTCGGCGCGTCTGATCCGAGAGAGAGAGGTCCGATATCAAACGGAGAAGGTTACCGAGAATAACCTGAAGTACCGTCAAAGTACCAGCTTAATCAAAGGAATTAATTCTTCCGGATTTTCCGATTGATCTGGCAATATAAATTTCACTGCAGATCGCGAGTTCACGGTGCAATTAAGCAACAGTCGGAACATGGGTGCCCGGGACGCTCGCCTCTTTCACGGCGAACTATTTAAGCGCACGTCGCAAAGAAACCGAGTTACATGAAAGCTCCGTCGAGCGTTCGATCGACAAAAAAGCCGGGGGACGTTCATTTCGTTGATTTTTCATTTCGCGTTCGTGCATACGCGCGACGTAACGTCGGCGTGCGCCGCCGATTGCTCTTCTTCCGCATAGTTGCGTTCAATTGCTCCCGGGACTAACACGCCAAGAAATTGGACGTTGCCTCGTCGTCGTGGCGGCAGAGTCCCTCGGAGCGAGCGTCACCGAATCGTCCCGGTAATCGTGTTACACGATTGTCGCGGTTCCAAACGTCGTCGCTAAACGAACGGCACATCAAAGGGGCACATAGCCCAGGGCGATGCGGCTCTGTGCACGGCAAGCGAACTAATTTCATCGTCGGGGCGCCGATCGAGGTACCGCGACGGCATCGATGCGGCGACGAGTCCCTCCTTTCGGCGCCCCGAGGACCAAGTTTCCTTCGTTGCGCCGGAACGGGATGAGATTAAAGCCGCGGAGCTGCAATTAATCGATCGTTATATGCACGTGTTTGGAGCGAAATAATCACGACGGCGATCGTTAAGCAATGGAGATAATTTACGCTTCGGCGGACGTATTAAACAACGAGTCGTTTATTGGAGGGCCGGCTCCGACTCGCTCAAAGTATCGCCCCAATTAGCGCGTGATTAACGGCACCGAGTGATTTACGAATTACTCGTCGTCGAGGCGACCGCACGAGAGAGGGAGAGGAACTGTGCACACAGCACGGCGTACAGATGCAAGTGTCGATTGTCGATGCGACCAACCGTGTCGCGTTTCCTCCTCCTCCTCTCTCTCTCTCTCTCTCTCTCTCCCTTCCTCTCCTTCGTCGTCCTTGTGTTGAATTTCGAAATAAACCGTTTACCTGAACGCACGGCGCGCCGATACTCTCGAATACTCTGCTTTCTCGACGAAAGACGCTAAGGACGTTCACGTGTCTCAATTAAAACTACAAACACACATGACATAGATAAAGTGAACATTATATTGCGTGATGTGATCTTTGATTCTATACACACGTGACGTGAATATAATCGAAAACAATGATCGTTCTAGTCGGACGTTCGTTGCGAGAGCGTGATCGACAAAAATGAAGATAAACAACGGCAGGGATGTTGCACACTCGTGTGCGCGTGTATGTACAGACAGTGTGTGACCGATTATGCATCCGCACTCGTGTCGTCGCGTGTCGAGTCTCCCAGGGATGTGTTTGTGCATGTGTGTACATGTATGTTTGTGTGTGTGTGTGTGTCAAGTGATCAGATGCTGATTGCGAACCGATAACGATCAGCGGCAATCGTCGACTTGAAAATACACGGGCACTAAAAAAGTGTAGTTGCTTGGGCGAAGAGACCGGCGGGAGAGAGGGCGCGGGGGGCAATGGGGGCGTGNAATGGGGGCGTGGGGGGGGGGCGGATCGTGTTTTTGTTAGCCGAACGATAGTAAAAATGAGTAAGTTTCAGCGGAATTACTGAGTAAGACCTAGAGGTAGTACCATTTTCACTTCGGATAGGGAGCTGATACTCAAGACGTACATGGTGACGCCCACCTCGACGGGAGGACCTGAAATCGAAGGTTAGTAAGACTGAGTCGCCGGTTTCCGGCCGCGGCCAAGCTACACGGTGAGAGTGACTATATATATGGCATTTCGGTTCGTTAATTACGAATATATACATAATATATCACGTGTATAAAGGCGTATATATTGCTTTTCTTTCGTTTGCGCTTTCGGTAGCGTTCTGTGAGTTTACTGTGAATGCGAAATGGGCATGGGGGTTAGTGATGTCGCTACGTTGGATGGATCGCTGAAAGTGGTAATCGCTCTCGATTAGACGGCGTCCGGTAACAGTTCGGTAATAATCTATACGCGCTAATTTACGTGTGCTCGGTCGTCCTCACGATTACGAAAGTTTCGTGGGCCGGGTTGCGATCCCTTCCTATGCAACGCTGAGACTGTCGTGCTTTGTATCGCGCGTACCGCGTTGGTTTGCGTCGTACGCGCTTGACGAGAGGGAATAAGCATCTTTTAAATTAGCGATATTAAATTGGATGCGTCGAGAGGATTATTTTCACTGAGCATCATTGTTTTTTTTTTTATTATTCTTGGTGCTGTCTATTCATCGAAGATCAGTTTTGTCGCATCACAGCTGCGGACGCTTGAATTATCAACGTATAGAATCAGAGAATTTATGCGTATATTAAATTAAATGCGAAAGCGAATTCTATGAAAAAAAAGAAACACGCGAGCGCAAGTGATCGTTTACGCTCATGTATTTCAGCGGACGTGACATAAGCTATCCCGTTCGTAATCTTTGCGAAATCTAAACTCGCAGAACTTACGAGGGTTCGTGAGAATTTCAGTGGTCTGGGCCAGATGCGAGGCACGAATTGATCGGCCGCAAAGACGAAGCGGAAAAATGTAATCCGCGCCCGATCGGACGGTATCTCACCGTGGAAAACTTTATGGGCGAAATTTCATTCAGAGAGTGAAAGAGGGCGGAAAGCCAGGTGCAGATGGAAAGAACCGGTTGTCGAGGGGGCAACGGGGTCGGCGGCGGGGTGGCCGGAAGGGGTGGCGAATACAGGCGCGTATACGTGTCCACGTTGGCGTTTTCGCGATAAAGTTGACTCGTAAACAACGGCTCTGCCAACGCCATCGCGCGCCACTCGACCGATATATCTTCATTTCCATTTCTAGGATGTTTTTAAAGCCCTATAGCCGAGGAACGTCCCATATGGGACACATATTTCACAATGACGTTCTCGCGTACACGCCGGGAAACGCACGGACGACGTGGTATCGAGTTAATTGAAACGGGCCCTGGTATGCCTCGCTCGTGCAAACCGATCGCCTATGAGGGTGTACCCCGAAAAAAAAGAGACAAAAATATACGAGAAATATGTGACTGAGGAAGGAGCAAGAATTAATAATCGCGCGCTGACGTCGAAAAATCGTGGTCATTCACTTCGATAGTGTGTCGATGTTCGTAGAACATTTACGTCACAGATGTTTCCTACGGATCATTGTAGCTCGCTTTGTCGCGGCCCGTAGACGAATTTCTTATTGTAATTTTACGTACATATGTGTACATGTGTGTGTCTGTGTCATTATACGTAATATTGTCAAGCATTAACGATTATTCCGACGGATAACGATTTATGCGGTCGCAATTCTATCGGCGGACCGAGACTCCGTCGCGGACTTTTCCTTTTTTAACGAGGTCGCCGAAAGTTGTACTTTATGGCTGCGACAAGCTATTTTATGGAGTGCAAACATTTCGAGTTTCCCGTCACGTATTTTGTCATTTTACGTAGGCCTTGGACGCCGGCAAAGCTCGTGTTTGAAAATCCGGCCGCGCTCCGGGGAATATCCAATGAAGCGTCACGAATCGAAGAGAGCAGCGGCATCGTGTTTATCTCGTTCACCTAGGGTATTCGCGTCCGTTTCCGTAATGTCCGTACCGATCTAAATTTTAAATGTTAAAACCCCCGTATCCGGTGAATCCCCCACGTGTGTCAGTATGCGAGAGTGAAGCGAGGTGCGCGGATATCGGCGATACGAGGCGATATGCTTAGCGCGACTTTTTGCGATCTACCGATGGTAACCCATATACGTGATCCCACGGAAAATGAGACGATCGCTTTTCACGCCCGACGATCGCCCTCGGGTTTACTGCAAAGTGAGTTATTACTAATGTATCTTCCCGACGTAGCCTGGAAAATCAAGATGGACCATGCTCCCGCGATGTTCCCGATCAATTTCAATCGGTTAGGTTGCGCCGCCGTAATAAAAGTCAGTCGATAAACGCTCATTTGAGCCCAGTCACTTTTTATTCAGAAAGCAATGAGTCATACGATATTTATTTGATACAGACGCGTGTGTTTGCACGAGGAACAATTCATTCGTACTGAGGGCGCAATTAAACGCGCCGAATGTGCATTTCATTTCAATCCGCCGCTCTCTCGGCCGGCCAAGAATTCGTCACTGCGACTCATAGTTTTAACCGTCTTCGAAACACATATCGAGGATCTTAATTATTCAGTTAATTCTTTTTCCGGCTTTCGCTTCATCCGGTGTTTAACTTTTACATGCAACCTTCTGTACGTTAGTGTCTGTGACTGAAACCAAGAATATCCCGCGCGAATTGATCGACAGGCCGACGAAACAATTTTAGTTTCTCCGAAAACGAAAGAAGCAAAGTGATTCTCGGTCAAGCGTTTCTTCTCGAAATGACGAAATCTCGATGGAGGACGCGTGGGGGGAGGGGGAAGGGGGGGGGGCAAA